GTTGGCAGAAGCTGGGCCTAACAGCAGGAGCTCACCCCAGATAGGAAGCTAAGCTCTAAGTGGGTTTGGCAAATATAGTTTGTGCTAGCTATGATCTGTCATTTCACTCCAGAGACCACTGCATCTGGAAATGCAAAAGCATAGTAAGGTTAAAGGTTTCCCCTGGCATCAAGTCTAGTCGTGTCCGACTCTGGGGGATGGTGCTCATCTCCATTTCTAAGCTGAAGAGCCAACGTTGTCCGTGGACATCTCCAAGGTAATATGGCCAGCATGACTGCATGGAGCCCCATTACCTTATCTATTGATCTACTCACATTTCCATGTTTTCGAACTGCTAGAGTGGCAGAAGCTGGGGCTAACAGTGGGAGCTCATGCCGCTCCCACTGATTTGAACCTGCGACCTTTCGGTCAGCAAGTTCAGCAGCTCACCACTTTAACCCACTGCGCCTTGGTGACCCCCAACCATAACATTATTTTTTGCTGCTACTTCATAACTATAATTTTGCTACTGTTATGAATCGGAATGTAAGTATTCAATATGCAAGATGTATTTTAATTCATTGAACCAAATTTGGCACAAATACCCGATGAACTCAAATTTGATAACTGGTGGGTGGGGGAGGACTGATTTTGTCATTTGGGACTTGTAGTTGTTGGGATTGATAGTTCACCTACAATCAAAGAGCATTCTGAACTCCACCAACGATGTAATTGAACCAAAATTGGCACACAGAACTCCCATGACCAACAGAAAATATTGGAAAGGTTTGGTGGGCAAACTCAAACAATGATGTATCTGGACCAAACTTGGCACAAATACTCAATATGCCCAAATGTGAACACTGGTGGAGTTTGGGGAAAATAGACCTTGACATTTGGGAGTCATAGTTGCTGGGTTTTATAGTTCACTTAAAATCAAAGAGCATTCTGAATCCCACCAACAACAGAATTGGGCCAAACTTCCCACACAGAACCCCCATGACCAACAGAAAATACTGTGTTTTCTGATGATCTTTGACGATCCCTCTGGTACCTCCTTGCGTCTCCCCCCGGGGTCCCGATCCCCAGGTTGAGAAACGCTGCTCTTGATCCTGGGATATATAGCAGTGTAGAATGGGCCTTAAAAAAGTACAGACTACTTTTGCATTTTGAACTTAGGGCCATTCCACACAGCCATGTAACCCAGAATGTCAAAGCACATAATGTACAATATCTGCTTTGAACTGGATTATCTGAGTCCACACTGTCATATTGTTGTTGTTCATTCATTCAGTCGTCTCCGACTCTTCGTAACCTCATGGACCAGCCCACGTCAGAGCTCCCTGTCGGCCGTTACCACCCCCAGCTCCCTCAAGGTCAGTCCAGTCACTTCAAGGATGCCATCCATCCATCTTGCCCTTGGTCGGCCCCTCTTCCTTTTGCCTTCCACTTTCCCCAGCATTAATTGTCTTCTCTAGGCTTTCCTGTCTCCTCATGATGTGGCCAAAGTACTTCAACTTTGTCTCTAGTATCTGTCCCTCCAGTGAGCAGTCGGGCTTTATTTCCTGGAGGATGGACTGGTTGGATCTTCTCGCAGTCCAAGGCACTCTCAGAACTTTCCTCCAACACCACAGCTCAAAAGCATCGATCTTCCTTCGCTCAGCCTTCCCTAAGGTCCAGCTCTCACATCCGTAGGTTACTACAGGGAATACCATGGCTTTGACTAGGCGGATCTTTGTTGCCATTCTGAAGTCTCTACTCTTTACTATTTTATCGAGATTGGACATTGCTCTCCTCCCAAGAAGTAAGCGTCTTCTGATTTCCTGGCCACAGTCTGCATCTGCAGTAATCTTTGCACCTAGAAATACAAAGTCTGTCACGGCCTCCACGGTTTCTCCCTCTATTTTCCAGTTGTCAATCATTCTTGTTGCCATAATCTTGGTTTTTTTGGTGTTTAGCTGCAACCCGGCTTTTGCGCTTTTTTCTTTCACCTTGATTAGAAGGCTCCTCAGCTCCTCCTCGCTTTCGGCCATCAGAGTGGTGTCATCTGCATATCTGAGGTTGTTAATGTTTCTTCCAGCAATTTTCACCCCAGCTTTGCATTCATCCAGCCCCGCACATCGCATGATGTGTTCTGCATACAAGTTAAAAAGGTTGGGTGAGAGGATGCAGCCTTGCCGTATGCCTTTCCCAATCTTGAACCAGTCTGTTGTTCCGTGGTCAGTTCTGACTGTTGCTACTTGGTCCTTGTACAGATTCCTCAGGAGAGAGACAAGGTGGCTTGGGATGCCCATCCCACTAAGAACTTGCCACAATTTATTATGATCCACACAGTCAAAGGCTTTAGAATAGTCAATGAAGCAGAAGTAGATGTTTTTCTGAAACTCCTTGCCTTTCTCCATTATCCAGCGGATATTGGCAATTTGGTCTCTCGTTCCTCTACCTTTTCTAAACCCAGCTTGAACATCTGGCAACTCTCGCTCCATGTATTGCTGGAGTCTTCCTTGCAGGATCTTGAGCATTACCTTACTGGCATGAGAAATAAGGGCCACTGTACGGAAGTTTGAGCAGTCTTTCGCATTTCCACTGTCATATAATCCAGTTCAATTGAAGTAAACTGAGAACAAAGGGGGAAAGTGGGAGAAGAGAAACAATGACATTTTAAAAGCAATTGAAAGTCGAATGACAGAGGAGTACTTGGGATTGTCCCTGCTGAATTGGGACAGCTGGTGGGTATGCAAATAAAATGAATGGGTAGGTGCACAATAACCTTTTTTAGAGTTCTCGCTTCTGTGCGCCTTTCATTTGATTTCTATTTCTGCCACTTCTTCCACAACAAGGCCTTCGTTTTAATATAGGCCAAGTCTTCGCCACATCGATTGATGTTTATGTAGTGAGTGGAAATGCAATAAAAACCCTTCTTCTGCATGGTGTGCTCTGCGCCTCTTTACTCGCATTGAAAAAAGAGCCCAGATGAAAGCCAATCCAGCAAGACCTGGGAGCTTCAGAGATACCTTTCAAATGCTTTCAGCCATAGGCAGAATTATGAAGAGACGAGAAACAAAGGGAAGCAGAAAATACAGACATTATATTGATTTGAATAGCAGCTTCACTCCATACTGCTCTGCTCAAGCCGTTCGGATTGTCTGTCAATAATAAGCAAAACAACTGTTTGTGTACTATGGGAGTTGAGATTATTGTCCTTTCTAAAACACTCTCCCTTATAGACTGAACCCTGGTGGAACCCCTGATGGCACAGTGGCTTAAACCACTGAGATGCTGAACTTGCTGATCCAAAGGTTGCAGGTTTGAATCTGGGGAGCGGCATGAGCTCCCGCTGTTAGCTCCAGCTTCTGTCTACCAAGCAGTTCGAAAACATGCAAATGTGAGTAGATGAATAGGTACCGTTTCAGAGGGAAGGTAACGGTGCCAGCCACATGACCTTGGAGGTGTCTATGGACAACGCTGGCTCTTTGGCTTAGAAATGGAGATGAGCACCAACCCCCAGAGTCGGATACGACTGGGGAAAACCTTTACCTTTACCTATAGACTGAACATTTTAATGACCAAGAGTCAGAATCTATTCAGAAAGCAGAGACAAAGTTCAGAACTGAAAGAGAGGAAGAGGAAAATAAAACATTTGAGGAACACATAGGAAATATTATCAATTTCCTTCTTTTGTCTTCTTTCCTGCCTTTCCTTCCTTCGTTTTTCCTTTCCCCTCTTCCTTCCTCTTTCTTCCTTTCCCTTTCTATCAGTTTTCTTCCCTCTCCACTTTTTTCTTCTTTCTTCTCTTCCTTTCTCTCTTCCTCTTACTCCCTGCCTTTCTTCTTTGCTTCCTATCTCCCTCCCTTTCTTTTCTTTTTTTCTCCCTTTCTTCCTTGCTCCATCCTATTCTTCCTTCGCCCTTCCTCCCTCTTCTTTTTCTTCCTTTCTGCCTTTCCTTCTTTCTTCCTTTTTCTCCCCCCCCCCCTTTCTTCCTTTCCCTTTCCTTCTGTCCTTTTTTTCTTCTTTCCTTCTTCTCTTCCTTTCTCCCTCTTAATTCCAGCCTTTCTTCTTGGCTTCCTAACTTCTTCCCTTTCTTTTCTTATTCACTTTTTTTTCTTCCTCCCTCTATTCTATTCTGCCTTTTCCCTTCCTCCCCTTTTCTTCCTTCCTGCCTTTCCTTCCTGCTTCCTTTTTCTTTCCCCCTCTTCCTTCCCCCTCCCTTTCTTTCTTTCCCTTTCTCTCTACTGCTTTTCTTCCCATTCTGTTTTCTTCTTCCTTTCTCCCTCCCTCCTACCTTTCTTCTTTGCTTCCTATCTCCTTCCCTCCCTTTTCTTGTTTACTCCCTCCCTCCATCCTATTCTTTCTTCTCCCTTCTCTTTTCCTTCCTGCCTTTCTTCTTTGCTTCCTATCTCCCTTTCTTATGTTTACTCCCTCCCTCCCTCCATTCTATTATTCCTTCTCCTTTCCTTTTCTTTTTTCTTCCTTCCTGCCTTTCCTTTTTTCTTTTCTTCTCCCTCTCTTTCTCCCCCCTCCTCATTCTTTCCTCCCTTTTCTTGTCTTCCTTTCCCCCTTTTCCTCCCCCTTCCTTTCTTTCTTTCCCTTTCTCTCTACCTCTTCTTCTGTCTTCCCTTTCTTTTTTCTTCCTTCATTCCTTCTTTCTCTTCCTTTCTCCCTCCCACTTACTTCCTGCCTTTCTTCTTTGCTGCCTATCTCCCTCCCTTTCTTTTCTTGTTTACTCCCTTTCTTCCTCCCCCTCCTATTCTTCCTTCTCCTTTCCTCCCTTTTCTTTTCCTTCCTTCCCTCCTTTTCTTCCTCCCTCCCTGCCTTTCTTTCTTGAGACTTCCTCTCTTTTTCCTCCTGTCTTGTCCTTCTTTTCTCTTTCTAGCATTCTTCTCTCCCTTTCTCTCCTTCCTTCCCTCTCTCCTAACACACACACAAGGGCAGGATTGGGTTGTTTACATAACCACCCCCTTGCAAGAGATGGTGGAGGACCCTCCTGCCCCCCCGAAGCCCGCCCCAAATTGAAGTCCCCTCCCTTCCCTCCTCTTCCTTTCCACGGGCAGCATCACCGCTCGGGGCCCGCATGCGCAGTGGCCGGAGGAGGGTCACGCACGGAAAAGGAGGCTCTGCTTGCAGAGAGGGCAAAGTCGAGTGGAGTAGCAGAGGACCCTCTTCCTCCTCCTCTTCCTCCTCGCCCCTTCCTCCTTTCCTTCCTCGCCATGGTGCTGGAGAGCCTGGCCCGCATCATCAAGGTCCAGCTGCCCGCCTACCTCAAGCGCCTGCCGCTCCCGGAGAGCATCGGGGGGTTCCTCCGGTTAACAGGTTAGTTAGTGCTGGGAAGGGGCTTGAACTGGGGCCGGAGGGGTCCTTAAAGGGGCCGAAACATATGGAGAAGTTGGAGGAAGGGGAGGCACTCTTCCTTTTGGGTCCATCTCCTATCTACACTCAGGAATGAATGCAACTTGAGACTCCTTTAAACTTCCATGACTTAGGACTGTGGGAGTTGTAGTTTGGTGGGGGGAAAGAGGGTAAAATGCACATCCCAGGATGGCATGGACTTGGGAACATCTACACTGTAGGATGAGTGTAGTTTGACACTTACTTTGACTGCTATGGCTTATTGCTATTGAATCCAGGGAGTTGTAGTTTTCCAGGGTCAAACAAGAGAAGCCCTTCACCAAACTTCCAGGGTCCCAGGGCATAGAGTGCTTGATAGTTCCAAGTGAGAGCATCTACACTGTAGGATGAGTGCAGTTTGACACTTACTTTGACTGCCATGGCTTATTGCTATGGAATCCAGAGAATTGTAGTTTTGCAGGGTCAAACAAGAGAAGCCCCTCACCAAATTCCCAGGTTCCCAGGACATAGAGCCCTTGGTAGTTCAAGTGAGAGCATCTACTCTGTAGGATGAGTGCAGTTTGACACTTACTTTGACTGCCATGGCTTATTGCTATTGAATCCAGGGAGTTGTAGTTTTGCACGGTCAAACAAGAGAAGCCCCTCGCCAAATTCCCAGGGTATAGAGCCCTTGATAGTTCCAAGTGAGAGCATCTACTCTGTAGGATGAGTGCAGTTTGACACTTACTTTGACTGCCATGACTTATTGCAATTGAATCAAGGGAGTTGTAGTTTTGCAGGGTCAAACAAGAGAAGCCCCTCACCAAACTCCCAGGTTCCCAGGGCATAGAGCCCTTGGTAGTTTAAGTGGTGTCAAACTGCATTAATTCGACAGTATAGATCAGGCATGGGCCAACTTGGGCCCTGCAGATGTTTTGGACTTCAACTCCCATCATTCCTAACAGTCTCAGGCCCCTTCCTTTCCCCCCTCCGCTGCTTAAGGAATGGGCCTGAGGCTGTTAGGAATGGTGGAAGTTGAAGTCCTAAACACCCGCTGGGCCTAAGTTGGCCCATGCTTGGTATAGATGCATCCAAAGAGTTCTTTCCCTTCAAACTACAACTCCCAGGGATACATGGCACACGCTGAAGCCCCTATAGCAACTCACAGCTGTACCATTGCTCTGAATGCAAAAGGGAACTTCAAGTAAATCTCAGTGGAAAAACTCCTTGGATCAATTCAAGTATAAGCCATATATAAGTTAACCCGCATATAAGCCGAGGCACCACAAAGAAACTGGGAAAACTTATTGACTCGAGTATAAGCCGAGGGTGGGAAATGCAGGCAACACCAAAGTTTGCAGACGACAACAAATAGGGAGTTGCAGCCCAGAGCCTTGAAAACCTCTGCAGCTCCAAAAAGGCAAAAAGAGCAAGGGAGGCCCATACACATGGTGAAAAGAGCAAGGGAGGTCCTTGTGTGAGGTGAAAAGAGCAAGGGAGGCCTGTGCACATGATGAAAAGAGTGAGGGAGGCCTACATGCACAGTGAAAAGAGTGAGGGAGGTTCATGCGCAAGGTGAAAAGAGCGAGGGAGGTCCATGCGTGAGGCGAAAAGCGTGAGTGAGGTTTCTGCACATTGTGGAAGGAGTGAGGAAGGCCCATGTGCACAGCGAAAAGAGTGAGGGAGGTCTGTGTACAAGGCAAAAAGAGTGAGGGAAGTTTGTGTGTGATGTGAAAGGAGTGAGGGAGGGCCGTGCGTGAGGTGAAAAGAGTGAGGGAGGTTCATGCGCAAGGTGAAAAGCAAGGGAGGTCCGTGCGCAAGGTGAAAAGAGTGAGGGAGGCCCGTGCGTGCGTCGAAAAGAGTGAGGCAGACCCATGCGTACAGCGAAAAGAGTGAGGGAGGTTTATGCATGAGGTGAAAGGAGTGAGGGAGACCCGTGCACGTGGCAAACAGAGTGAGGGAGGGCCATGCGCATGCTGAAAAAAGTGAGAGTTTCATACATGAGGTGAAAAGAGTGAGGGAGCTCCATGTCAAGGCGAAAAGAGTGAGGCAGACCCATGCACACGGCGAAAAGAGTGAGGGAGGTTTGTGCATGAGGCGAAAGGAGTGAGGGAGACCCGTGCACGTGGCAAACAGAGTGAGGGAGGGCCATGCGCATGCTGAAAAAAGTGAGAGTTTCATACATGAGGTGAAAAGAGTGAGGGAGCTCCATGTCAAGGCGAAAAGAGTGAGGCAGACCCATGCACACGGCGAAAAGAGTGAGGGAGGTCCGTGCACGAGGCGAAAAGTGTGAGGGAGACCCGTGCATGCAATGAAAAGAATGAGGGAGGCCTGTGTATGTGGCAAGAAGACAGAGGTAGAAACAGCCCAGTGAGTGAGCAAGGGAGTGTGGCCCTGCGGGCAGGCCCGTAGCCATGATTTCGTTTGGGGGGGGGGCTGAATTTTTTTCAGGGGGGTTCAGGGGGGGCTGAGTTTCGGGGGGGCTGAGTCTGAGTGAAAGAGGGTCTAGCCTAGCAAACCTTTTGTATCATTACCCCAATACCCCCATGCATATGGGATATATTGAGTATGGTGATCAGATCATGATATGAATAAACGTAACAGTTTAAATAATGCACCAGTAAGGCCTTTTCGCGAACCACCATGAGAATTTCGGGAGGGGCTGAAGCCCCTCAAGCCCCCCCCCCGGCTACATGCCTGCCTGTGGGAGGGAGAGGGGCAGGAGCAGCCTCGAGTGAGGGTCCTGGCGGAAAGGCGTGGGGCTTAAAGATGGACCGGTTCAGCCCCATGCCTCCCCGCCAGGACCCTCACTCGAGTATAAGCCAAGGGGGGCCTTTTTCAGCCCTAAAAAACGGTTGAAAAACTCGGCATATACTCGAGTATATACGGTACTTCTAGTTCATTAGACATGTCCTCCAAAGACACCAGATCTAAACATGGGGAAATGATGGTTTCAGGCAACACGAAAGAGCAGCACATTGTAAGCTGTTTAATTTGTTGTTGTATTATATCTGTATTATCAGAGATGCACTTAAATGTTCTGTACAGTGTTACGTTCCAGGACTACCGGTGAAAAGTGAAAATCCGCAAAGTAGGGATGCTATATATGTATATCGAGTTACGAGGGTGAGGCAGAGGCAAGGAGAGATTTAAAGGCACCACTATCTCTGCTTTGTTTGGCAATCTCTCTTGATTGGCTTCCTCTCTCCTGAGAGGAAGGGTGGAACCCCTTTCCACACTCCATCGTTGCCAGGAGGCGGGATTAGAACATCGCTCTGGGCAATGGCAACCATTCATAAACTGGGAGGCAAAAACCCATGAAACATCGAATCTGCAAAAAGCAAACTGTGAAGTAGCAAGGGAACACTGTATAGCAGAAATGAGGCCTCAGTACCCTAAAGGAGGGGCCTTCAAACTTTTAAAGCCAATTTGTGGGGAAAAACATAAACAAATTACTATGAACATTGCACATAGCCTATTTGTAGTGCAAAATAATAATAATAATAATGAATGAACAGCACAAAGTTTAAAGGGAAGAACAATTTTCACCAACATAAACTTGCCAGTATTTTAATTGGAAGTATGTGCCTGCTTTTGGCTGATAGGATAGTCAAGCTAATTAGTATTGTTGTTGTTGTTGTGTGCCTTCAATACCTTGAATGGAAGACCACCAATGGATACCAGTGCTGTAAACTCTGTTTCAGAAGAAAGAACCTTTTGAGGATTCCTTGCCTGAGCAAACCCCATAAATGCAGTGGCCATAAATCCACAGGAGCCTTGAACACACATTCACGCAAACATCTAACGTTGCTGCCTAAATGAACTCGGTTCTTGTTGTTACATTTGGGAAGTCTAATGAAAGAAAGGAGGGAGTGGGGGAAGTAAGCATACAGACCTATGAGAACTTCAATTTTCTTTTTCAGGCAAGAGGTTTAGAGAAGGAAATCATGCAAAGGGAAGAAGCTTGACCTGAAAGTCATGTCACGTAAAAGTAATATATGTTTCGCTATAAAAGTAGTGCTGGCAAGTGCTGTTTCTGTTGAAAGCTTTCTGCAGCTTTGGACAAGAGTGCATCATTCCACTGTCATTTTTGCTGCACATGGAGTTGGGGCCCCTTCTACACTGCCATATAAAATCCAGATTATCTGATTTGAATTGGATTATATAGCAGTGTAGACTCATAAAATCCAATTCAAAGAAGATAATGTGGATTATATAATTTGATCATCTGTGTTATATGGCGGTGTAGAAGGGACCTGGATTGAGAGTGAGCCACTTTTGTTGTCAAAGGCTTTCATGGCCAGAATCACTTAATTGTTGTAGGTTTTTCAGGCTGAATGGCCATGTTCTAGAAGCATTCTGTCCTGATGTTTTGCCTGCATCTATGGCAGACATCCTCAGAGGTTGTGATCTCACCACCTCTGAGGATGCTTGCCATAGATGCAGGCAAAATGCCAGGAGATAATACTTCTAGCAGGTGGCCATTCAGCTCAAAAAACCTACAACAACCCAGTGAGCCACTTGCTCAAAGTCACACAGGATGTTTCCATGGTTGAATGAGGAATTTAAACGTGGCCTTCCTTTACCCAGGAATAAGACTTAATTAACACTATGGAGTTTGTCAAGTTATGCATTTTTCAGAGGGTCTTCTAAGGCCCCTTCTTCCTTCCCATATAATCCAGATTATCAAAGCGGATAATCCACTTTATCCACTTTGAACTGGATTGTATGATCTACACTGCTATATAATCCAGTTCAAAGCAGATAATGTGGATTTTATATGGCAGTGTAGAAGAGGCCTTAGGCAAGGAGTATTCAGAGCACTTGGTATTCATTAATGATTTCCCTTTCACGTACAAATCAGGGCTGGTCCTGCTTCTCTTCCAAGATCAAATGGTATCTGGTGCCTTTAGGATAGTTAGGCCAACAATGGACTTAACTTTGAGTTGATCAGAGGTGTTTTTCATGTGATTTGCACGCAGTTT